TCTTGTCTATCTGTGTGGCTTAGTAGTGAAACTTTAAATCGGTAACAATGATTAGTTGCTAATGCATGTTTGGTATCCAATCTATACAAATTTGTAAACAAACATTTCATGGAGGCTTTAGCAAATTTTCTAGTCTGAAAATTCTAATTGGCTATCCAATTGCAGTCAGTCTTGTTGACTTTTGTTGGAGTAAAATGTGGCCAGTATGCTACTTTCTTCAGCATACAAATTCCGGGATTATTTGGGAGTATAGACAAAAGGGTAAATATGGTAACCTGCTCGAGCTGAAATGTGAATGCTTTTATTATTGATGGTTAAACTTACCCATTTTATACTGATGCAATGCAAAAGGTGCCCAACCAGGAGATTAGTTGACCCATGGAAAATTTTACAATGAGTAAATCCTTGAAATAATAAAAGCTGAAATTCTCAAGCAATCCGGTGCTCGTGTTATGATGCATATTTCTATATTTTATCTTCTGTACTATACTTAACTGACACTTTGCCTAGTGTAATACCAAGTAGTGCTTCCTTGGTCGAGTCACATTTTACTGGATATTCTGATTCCCTGCTTGCTCAATGGCTTCGGTGTGCTTTGTTAAGAAATTTGGTATCGATCTGCAGTTACTGTAAGTGGGATAGGCCATCTCTCGGGCAGCATTCGTGGAATGATAGGATCAGAGAATAAATCCAGTTTCAACATATATTTATCATTGTTGTGGTCATCAGTATGACTTTGCTGCAATAATCTAATGCGCAAAATCATCTCTTACGACAGTTAGGGCTGCTTCATGATGAATGGGTGGAAAATGCCGATCGCTGGGTTGCTGGTTTTCTTGAAAAGTTTGAGGAAGGTTGCCATCAAATGGTTAGTTTTCCCGGCAAAAGTTGTACACCCACAACTGTCTCATATAACGAATGCATGGAAGCTAATTTTCTGTTGAATTTGTCAGGGAACGGTCATCAAAGAACGAATTCAGGAGAGCCTGCAACCAAGAGGCTTCAGCTTGTTGCAGTACGAGGAAGAGTAGCAGCGCAGCATTCACCCACATGTAGTTGTAAATTATGAGGTATAGAGAAAGAAATGCCACAGATAAAATCATCTCACATGATGTGTTCCCGAACTCATGATGTCCTGTTGCTGGGTCGTAGGAAGACTTGGTAACGCGTGGGGATGTCTTCGTTTGGTAGACTTTTTGTTTTTGGTACTCACAAAACAGCCTCTTAAAAGTCCACATTGTGAGGCTTCGGTTTTAGAAGAATGGTCTTATCTCGTGTTGCCTTATTCTGAGGTTTTGCTTCGCCAACGTTTTGAATGTTCTCTTACACTCGACATCTTACAGTATTGTGAAGCCCTTCGAGACGAGATCATGTCGTAACATTAATTCAGCATTGATCGAGCTGCTGGATCACAGTCGAATGGCATCTGACGGTGACATTTGCAATAGGCAAGATTTTACTGAAGAGTGAGTGTTCTTTCTGATATCTCGTGCGTGAAAGTGAGGATGCTGTGCCATGGAAATTGCCCACAGCATTTTAAGGATCGGTTCACTCGACCAGTAGGAACCATGTTTCCTCTTTCATCCTTGCATGTCTGTGGCATGACATGAACCAGAAGTTTGGATCCCAAAAGGTCGAGGAGAACCATTCCTTTATGATCTCTTCGCTATCTTCTTTGTCTCCCAAAAGAATGTGGAGCGTGCGTGTTGGAATGTCCAATATGGCGCTGCTTTCAACGTTTTCTTTTTGCGTCTATATATATATATATACATATATCTTCCAACACAGTTCCCTCCACTTGGTCGAGACGGAGAGCGAACCGGGTACGCTGCTACTACTGTCTCGTCGACCTGCCAAGTCCGATCACCCAATGGACTCGCGGCTGCGTGGCGGACGATGCCGATGGACCACGAAAAGGGGGGGTTCTCTTACGTGGTACAACAGTAGGTTTGTGGAGGTAGCAGGAAGAGCATATGGTCGCCAAGTCCTTTTCCCTCGGCATGATGCTCCGCTGAAACAGTGCCTCCATATATCAACTGTTGAGCCTATCAGGATTCCACACACTGTTTGCACCAAGCAACCCAAGGTGGGGCTGAGAGCAAACAAGAAAAGATGAACCAAAAAGAGAGCAGCAAATCACTGGCAAAGCAGAGGGATTGATGTGGTTCCACCGGCAGGTGGGGGGTATTCGTATGTATAGCTTCATTCGGCTGCTGGACGACAAGTGAACTCTCATGCCCTCGAATAATTACATTGATTTATGGATCCAACTTTTCTGCCTAAACTTATTGTGTTAAATAATACAACGAGCACCGGATCTACGAGCGAGATTGCCTCTGTTCCGGTGGATATCTCGACACAGATGTGGAGCCAGAGCCTAATGGGAAGGAGTTGACAGTCCTTGTGAGAGAGAACTAAATAAAAGAGATCTCGGATGCTTTGCAGATGCTTTCGACTGACCACCGGGCAAAGCTTCAGCTGAGCTCCTGTGCCAATGGCACACTTGCCTATGGCCGGGAGTGGAGCACCCAACCGATCGAAAAGGACCCATCTAAAGTTTCTGAGCTAGGCTCCATATTGCCATCGATAGACGGAGCTGTGACATATCAGCATTAAAAAGATTTGTGAGCTTCGAGACGAGACAGCTAGTTCAACGTACGATTCGTGGCTTTTCGTGTGCGGCTGGAGATTGCCCGAGGACAACAAATTGCAGCGATCGAGAACTCTGGCCACATCGCAGTTCCCTAAGCGTTTGGTTGGTCGCATGAACCAGATCGAACAAAGTATGCGATTACTTGGTTAATGTTTTACTACAGATGAAGATGATGAGAAGAAGAGAGGAAAGGGAACCCACAAAGATGATGAGAAGAAGAGAGGTAAAGAGAAAGTTGTCGCCACACTGTTTTAACCATCTTATTCCATGGTGCGAGAATTGGAATGGACGGCCACAAGTCGTAAAGCTCTTTGTAGCTTTACGACAATAGGAAATGATGGTTGCATCGGAACCATTCTTTTCGGAGTCAATCAGCATCGGACATTAATGTTTATTCTGTGGAAGCAGAACCGAGGGGTGAGCGCACACAACATGTCCGAGAAACTGGAACGTGAGAAGGTTCCCTTCATCCTTTTGTCATCTCCAGCTCCGGTTCTGACAAGACAGCGTTGCAGCAGCAGCTGCTGCTGCTGCCTCTACCCTCGTCGGGCAAGAAGCGCATGCCAAAGATCGAATTAGCCGAGAATAAGCTTACGCGACGCTCCTCTCTCTCGAAGGAACGAGGTCGAAGAGAATAAAACGAAAAAGAAAAAAAAGGAGATTTGCTTGCAATCACATGTTGTGTTGCATGTAACATTCTCTGCACCGGCGACATACTCGGCAGTGCAGTAAAAGGAGAGACCTACACACAGTAGAAAAAAGGCAATTGACCCGGGAGTTGGCCACCCCACCACCCATGTCGGGCCTCCTCCTAATGTTCCTCACCCGATCATTCATTAATCCGCGATGACAACATCATGTCAACATCCACAGTGCCCGGTGCAGTCCTCCTCCAAACAACCAAAGGGTTCTTCTCCCTTAGTTTAAGCTCCTTCATCCAACTCACCCTCTTCTTGTCCCATCGACCCCCACGATGAGCTCATCATATCCTTTCTCTCTCCTATTTAAGGTTTTGCTTCACTGTCATACCACCACCCTACGACATCACATCACTCCACCCCGCCCCTTCACCACTTCGTGTGCGTTCGGTTCCATGGAGAAGGCCACGAAGGCTGCGTTTATTCTTCTTTCTCTCTTCCTCCTCTTCCCACAGCTCCGAGCTTCGGGCGACTGCGACTGCACCACCAAACGGGAAGCTCGAGACAGCGCCAAAGCGCTAACACTAAAGTTGATAGCCATCGCGGCGATCCTAAGCGCAGGTGCCATGGGAGTCCTGATTCCGATCCTGGGGAGATCGTTCGCAGCCATGAGCCCCGAGAGCGACGTGTTCTTCGTGATCAAGGCCTTCGCCGCAGGCGTCATACTTGCCACCGGACTGATACACATCCTCCCGGACGCATTCGAGAGCTTGACGTCGCCCTGCCTGGGCGAGCAGCAGTGGCAGGACTTCCCGGTCGCCGGGTTCATCGCCATGTCTTCCGCGATGGTGACATTGATGATCGACTCCTTCGCCACGAGCTACTACGAGAGGTCGCACTTCAGCAAGGCGCGGCCGGTCGAGGAAAAGGACGAGAGGAAGGGGGACGAGGAGTCCGCCCGCGACCACGCCGGCCACGTCCACGTCCACACGCACGCAACTCACGGGCATGCGCATGGCTCGGCAGCGGCGGCGGGCTCGCCGGAGGAGGCTTCGCTCTCCGACAAGATCCGGCACCGAGTTATCTCCCAAGTAAGCGTCGTCGCTGATGGGTAGCAGTCCTCCATATTAATCCCGCTGCTTCTTTCCTGATTAACAACAGTAAATATTCTATTGATTATAGCTGAGAGATGACTTTTAGCACAGAAGAAATATATACACAAAGATCATTTCAGTTCCAGAGAAGCATATACAGAGAGTGATGATGAGCTTCGACTTGGAAATGTGTAGGTTCTGGAGCTGGGCATTCTGGTCCATTCCGTGATCATTGGCATTTCGCTGGGTGCATCTGAAACATCCTCCACCATCAGGCCTCTGGTTGCAGCCTTGAGCTTCCATCAATTCTTTGAAGGCATAGGACTCGGTGGATGCATCGTCCAGGTACTCGGGAACTCCTTTCTTCCATCTTCTTCACTCTCGACATCACATTCTGATTCCCACAAGTTGGGAAGTAAAAAGGTGGTGGTGCGACATCTCATACCTTTTGCAAATTGGCAAACGCCACTTCCATGTTCTTCGCTCCTGCAACTGCATGAGATTCACTTCCTGTGATCCTTTTAACATTTGACAGTGATCTCTGCAACAACCATTCGTCAAAAAGATTTCAGCAAGAACCTGACCCACAAAAGAAAGAAAAACCAAAAACGAAGATTAACATTAAGATCAATAATATGGCATATTTTGACTTGATTTAGTGTTCAGCAACACAACCCGACCGGCTTAAGAAATTGTTCATTTTAGTGTTCATAAAACTATCAAACTTGATGATACAGTGATACTGCTTTGATGTTTTGCCTTGTTACATATGTTGCCTCTACCCTGGCAGGCAAAGTTCAGAGCCAAGGCAACAGTGATCATGGCAGTCTTCTTCTCTCTCACAGCTCCGATCGGCATCTCCCTCGGCATTGCGATTTCCTCTAGCTACGACGAGACTAGCTCGACTGCTCTTATCATCCAAGGCATCTTCAATGCTGCCTCTGCAGGAATTCTAATATACATGTCTCTGGTCGATCTCTTGGCCGCTGATTTCAAGAACCCCAGAATGCAGAGTAATGGAAGGCTGCAATTCGGAGCACATCTTGCACTTCTTCTGGGTGCAGGTTTGATGTCCCTTCTTGCGAGGTGGGCATAGGGATGATTCCCGATAACTGTGAGCTGAGGCTTATCCGGGAATATTTTTCCTGCTATCCTCGGGTACGCCCAACAGGCTACTTCACTTCTTACACGTTAGTTTTTCTCCGGGTAAAGCAGTGCAAGCGATTGCAATGTTTGAAGCACTTGGGTTGCCACTTTGATTTTCTTGAGATCCTTAGAATAAGGAGAGGGGGTGACCACCCGCCAAGAAATAGATTATGTGTTTCATTTTGATGCAAACAAAAAAAAGAGAGAAAAAGTTATTGCCTCCACATCAACAGGAGAAAAAAAGGGTTCGGTTCACTGACCAATTCAAGTTGCATTCTGATGCGGCTCATCGGTATCGCTCGTCTCGTGGTCTCTGTTCATGTTTTCACGGTCGATAGCCACCGACTTATATCTACTTGGCCCTCCGGCACAAGATTCTGCTTCTGAAACTGCTTGAGATACCTTGGTGAGTGATACAGATTAACAGCCATCAAAATGATTCTACACAATGCAATATCTTTCATCGACAGAATCTGGAAAAAAAAAAAAAAGTATTGGCACAAGCATCAACTTTTCCAAATGGTTCAAAGTTATTAAATAGTGTAAAAAGAAGACCAAGATACATCTTAAGACAGCTTCAAAAGATTTCCTCCAGAAAAGAAAGAAAGGAAGACAGCATCAGTGGGTCAGACTTACGTCCTGCAACAGTATCGGTCTGATGGTAATTAAACCATTTACTCTACCATTGATATTGTTCTGATCATTTTCTCAAATGTTCATTACTGTGGACAAAGAACATTGTTGTTCATCTATGGTCGAGGCTACTTCTGAGATCATAGCAATCTACTTTTTCTCACAAAGATGTCAAGCACATTTCATCCATGTAGTTTAAAGGAGAACATATGCTTCACCAACTGGGTTTCTAACCAATGGCTGTAACACATCCCTGGAGAACATGGTACCGAGCTACATTATTAACCATCAACTAAATTCTCTTCAGATATGAGTCAAGGTGGAGGGACCAAATCATTACCTCATCTATGACTCTGCACCATTGCTTCAAAGAAGAGCACATTTGGTCAATAATGCAACGAACATAAGACAAAGGTCTGATAGCAACACATTGTGAGGAACAGAGCAAATATCAAGCACCTTGTTATGGACCATCCTTTATGAAAGCACAGAGAGCATAGAATACGATGCCAAACAACAGCACTGACTCCCTAAATTATCCGAGCCATGCCAGGGATTGTAGGCAACATCTTCATCTTCATGGTCTGTTCTTCCCAAGATTATCCAGCTGCCACATCCTGTCAAGAAACTTCTTGTTTAGTTTTATGAAGACCCACCAATCGCAATCGAAAGGCTTTTCTTTGTCCATAGAGAAGCATCTCATGCAAACACAGAGCACTGTCTAAAATTATAGCATACGGAACTTGACATAACAAATTCAAGTTATCAAGTGTTCACTTTGTCCGAGGCACTATCTAAAATTATAGCATTACAGCAAGGAATTATTCGTCATCCCCATACTTTGGTAAACCGGCCAAGATATGCTGTGCCAAATGAAAGGTCTTGTCACGGAAATGACACTGTAGCACTATATGAAAGCAGTCATCAGATTTCCTACTTGGTGTACATTTGATCCATACCACCCATACCCATAACAACGACATCCATACTAAAAACAATGAGAATTTTTGAAATCTCATATTGTGATAATTGACATGACAAAGTATGCTTAAGAATAAAGGAGAGCATTTAATCTGAATAGTATTCTTGGAGATCTTTCACGCAAAGAATTATTTACATTCCACTAGGGATGATAAGGTCAACAGATACAATGCATAAGAATAACTAAATTCTATTCTCGGAGAAGCTTCACTCAAAGAATTCACTATATAATACATAAGAATAACTAAATTCTGTTCTTGGAGATACTTCACTCAAAGGATTGACTACAGTCCACTAGGAATGCTTAAGGATAATGGGATGCATTTAACCTAAATACTATTCTTCGAGACACTTTGCTCAAACAATTATCTACAAAAGACATTGCTTAAGGATAACGGAGAGCATTTGATCTGAATACTGTTCTTCAAGACAATTTCACTAAAAGAAGCATCTACTTTCCACCAGGGATGATAAATACAATTTCATCTAGTAACATAACTGTAAAATTATTATTTTTATTATTTTTATGTAGAATGACCTTCGAATGGCAAAATATGTTACTGCATTATATGTAGCAAGCAACTACGAAGAAGAAAAAGATTGAAAATAATAGAAGAACCCTAAACCCGTCAAAATAGAGAACAAAAATTTCCATGAAGTGCGACTTCTTTACGGAATGGGACTTATATCGGCTCAACCTTTATGAACTCATTATTCATCATTGACTGAAAATGGACAAACAATTCCAGTCTTTCATGCCCTCAGGTTCGATACCCACCCCCCAAACCAAAAAAAAAAAAACCTTTCGTTAATTATTCGCCATTATCGAGATGCATATGACAATCTAAACAAAGTATGCCCAAAAAGATTGCGATCCGCGTCGAATGGAATTAAAAGAACAAAAATTACCCAATTCCTCGTTCGTTGGTGCAAAACCCTAGGCTAGGAGACGAACGGTGACATAGCAATGGCGAGCGACAAGAACAAGTGTCCACCGGCAAAAAGAACCTTATCCGAGATACAGAATCCCATGAAATCAAAAGAGAGATCGGATTAAGAGAATTGGAGACGGGCAATCTTGCGGAACGAGGCAGCAGAAACGGGTCGGATTTCTTCCGCTATATGGGCCGCGTTTACCGCTCACTAGTCATTATTGGACGTCGGATCAAAATCAATATTTACGAATCATAAAGCAGTTAAGATAGATACATAGTATATTCTATTTCACCTCCCATCTCCCGCGTTATTTTGTTTAATTACCATCCAACCATCTGATTTCTTTTACTCTCGCGGATGGGGCGGTCACCAAAATCCAAAGCCGGAAGCTCCGGATCGAAGAAGGCGAGCGGAGAGGAGAGAGGACGACGCGACCTGGTCTGCCGGCGACGGGAAGAGGAAGACGCGGGCATCGACGGTGTGGTTCTACTACTCTGACCGGAATTCGACGACGAGACGATCCTCCTCCACCTCCAGAAGGCCAAGCACTTCGAGTGCCAAGTCTTCCACAAGAAGCTCTCCACCGCCGGCGGCATGGCCGACCATGTCCTCCGAGGAGACCGTCACCAGGCAATCTCTCAATGAAGCCCTAATTCTTTTCTTGATCTGATCATTTCTTGGTTTCTTGACTTTGTGCCCCCATCTGTAGATGCATGAGAAGTTTGTTACGGTAGATGTTTCGATATGTAGGGTTGTAAGGTTGATATATGTAAATCTGTAGTGTTGATCATAGGAAGTGTTCATTTTCGAATGCCAAAGTTAATTTAATTCGTAGAGCTTGGAGGGTTTTTGCCGGCTGACCAATTGGGAAGAGGAACGTTGTCGTTCTCTGTCTGACCGATCAAGATTCTGAAACCCCAAGTCTTTTCTTGATCTGATTACTTGATCTGATCACTTCTTGGTTTCTTGTCTTTGTGCCCCTGTCACCAGGCAATCTCTCAATGAAGCCCTAATTCTTTTCTAGATCTGATCATTTCTTGGTTTCTTGTCTTTGTGCCCCCATCTGTAGATGCATGAGAAGTTTGTTACGGTAGATGTTTTGATATGTAGGGTTTTAAGGTTGATATATGTAAATCTGTAGTGTTGATCGTAGGAAGTGTTCAATTTCGAATGCCAAAGTTAATTTAATTCGTAGAGCTTGGAGGGTTTTTGCCGGCTGACCAATTGGGAAGAGGAACGTTGTCGTTCTCTGTCTGACCGATCAAGATTCTGAAACCCCAAGTCTTTTCTTGATGATATACGTAAATCCGTAGTGTTGATCCTGTTTGATTGTAGCAAGTGTTGATTTCCAAACATGAAGGTTAATGTAATTCTTGGAGCTTTGAGGATTTTCGCTGACCAATTGGAAGGATGGAATCAGGATTCTGAAACCCTAAGTCTTTTACCGATGTGATTACGTGCCCTGGACTTGTGTGTTCTTTCTTTCTTTCTTTCTTTCTTTCTTCTGGGATATGCAGATGCATGAGAAGTTTGTCATGGTAGATGTTTGATATTTAGACTGTAAGGTTGAGATGTTGATCCTGTTTGATTATAGTAAGTGTTGGCTTTTTGGTATGAAGATTAATGAATTCTTTAGAGCTCTGAGGAGTTCTCCTGTAACATGTTTTACTAACAGCTATCATCCCATTAAGATCTGTTATTTTCTTGGTTTAGTTGAGCCATGTAATTTTAGGAATATTTTGCTTGTTCATTAAACCTAGAATTTCTACATTTTGTTATGTCATTTTTGCCATGTCAGCTAAATGCTCTGTCCAGTTTTCTTTTCGTTTGATGTTCTGAACCTCTGTTTCTTTCATCCAGAGTTCATGATGCTAAGCTTTTGAGAGAATCAACAAAAAGTGAGATCTACAGCATGCAAGAAATGCCTCCTGATTTCTCATCATCTCGCTATGCAGAAGGTAATATTTCTTACATGTGCTTCCTTTCTGATAACTTAACAAAATGGTCAACACATGTAGATAGTTGTTTATGATAACTCAATGAAATTGTCAACACGTGTAGATAGTTGTTTATTATGATGTTTCCTAGTTTATATATTATTGCTAGTTTGTGCTCAAAATACTGTATTCCTCAGTTCGACACATCTTTATTGAATGATTTCTTGATGTTAAAAGTTTTTCTTTTCGATATCTTCATCATGAGGGGTATTATTTTGATTTGCCATTTTCTTCATATTAAGGGTCCTGCATGCTTGTATCCCACATACTAAAGGCACCCACCCGAGACTTTCTCTTTGTAGTACTTTCTATTATCCTTTAGTAATGCACTTAGTTTAACTTTATTCACTCTACTATTGCTTGTATATCGGAGAGCTGAATTGAATGCTCCCAAGTTTGAAGACAATAAATTTCAAACTCAATCCTATCAAATTTCAAGAAAATGATTCATATCTTGAGATAATTATGAAAATTCAAAACCATCAAAGTACAATGCGCTATGAATTTAATATGTATTGTAATTTATGTTTGACTTTTAATAAATTGTGACTCATTAATTCGTTGGTTGAGGGATTCAATGTACAAGGGATCTATAAAAGGGGAAGGAAGGAAGATTGATGGGGCATTCTTGTTTTTGAAACATTATCAAACTTTTATATTTTGAGCTACTAGCTCGTAGTTATCTCTTTGAAAAAGAGAGAGTTTTCTTTTGTTCTCCCATATCTGATTTCTTTTTTTCATCCTCTTCTTCTCTCTTCATCTTGTTTTACATCATTTGGTATCAGAGTCTTACTACGCTCTTGGAGTACTTCCTTCTTATGGCAACTAGAAGGGGTAGACGGCAGCGACGCGATGAAAGAATAATGCAACTAGATAGAGATGAATGGGATGCATAAATTGAAGCACTAAGGAGACAAGTTGAAGAGCTTACTATACGCTTTGAACGTCAAGAAACCCATGGCTCTAGACGCTCAAACTATGGTTATGCAAGTGACGGATTTGAAGACATGAATCCCTTTGCATCCAAAGAAGCTATAGGAGACTCATCCATTGAGAGGTTTTTTTCGTACAAATGATAATATCAAAATTGACTTGTCGGAGTTCCATGGTCGACTTCAACCTGAAGAATTTCTTAATTGGCTTAGTACCGTTGAGAAATTCTTTGAGTACAAGAAGATACCGAAGATTGAAAAGTAAAATTAATTGCTATAAGGCTTCGAGGTTACGCCTCAACTTGGTGGGACAAGGTGCAAGAGATGCTCCTTCGGAAAAGGGAAGATGAAGATTTCATCTTGGGAGAAGATGAAATTCGGCTCCATGAGAATTTTCTTCCATCTTATTATGTTCAAACTTTCTTTTCACAATTTAACAATCTTTAGCAAGGTAGCAAAATCGTCATCAACTACACTGAAGAATTCTACAAGTTGATGATCCAAAATAACACTCAAGAGACAAAAGAACAACTTGTTGCAAGATATGTCGGCGGCCTACGAATTATGATTCGAGATGAAGTGGAGATGCAACGAGTATGAAAGTTATCTAATGCTTATCAATTAATGCTAAAAGTTGAAGCAAAACTTGTTAAAAGTGGAGCAAAGAGGTATTCTAATGTTCCTTTACATTCCTCTTCTAAAGCTGACTCTACTCGTTATAATGTTAGTGGATCAAAAGCTAGCAAAATCATGAAAAATGCATCCAAACTAACTCCTACCAATCGTGGAGGATAATCTAGTCGCACCAGTCACCTGCCTACTTGCTTTAAATGCAAACAAGTAGAACACTACATGAACAAGTGCCCAAATAGACAAGCTAATACACGAGTTAACTTTGTCGAAAAAGAAGATGCCAATGAACAACTTAAAGATATTGGAAAACCAATATATAATGAATGCCACGTGGAGGCTTATGAAGAACTTGCACCACCCGAAGAAGGTGAGTGCTTGGTAATCCATAGAGCGCTTGCTACTCCAAGAGATGATTCTAATGAAGAATAGTTACAAAATAATATTTTCAGGACACGTTGCAAGTCTCAAGACAAAGTTTGTTCTCTTGTTATTGATAGTGATAGTTGTGAGAATATTGTCTTAAGATATGGTAGACAAGCTAAAGCTCAAGATAGAACTACATCCTAAACCATATTGGATTGCATGGTTCAACAAAGACAATGAGGTACGAGATACTAATCGCTGCCTATTTTCTTTTTCAACGGAAAAAAATTATAAAGATAATGTGTGGTGTGATGTAGTACCAATGGATATTAGCCATATACTCTTGGGAAGACCATGGCAATATGATAGGTGTACTATCTATGATAGTAGAAAGAACACCTATACTTTTAAATTCAATGGAGTTAGAATTGTGCTTTTGCCATGCAAAGAAGAGTTTGCTCCCAAACCTTTACAAGAGAGCGAAGAAAGTGGAGTTGTATTTATATTAGTTGCTAAAGAATGCATGCAGCCTATGGAAATTCTTGGTGAAGTAGAAGCTATTGTGGAGGAATTCAAATACATATGTTCTGAAGAACTTCCTAGTGGCCTACCTCCTCTTCAAGACATTCAACATCAATTCGATCTAATTCTAGGAGCAATCTTGCCAAACAAATCTCACTATCGGATGAGTCCAAAAGAACATGAAGAGTTGAATAGAATAGTTATGGATCTACTACACAAGGGTTATATTCGAGAAAGTTTAAGTCCGTGCATCATTCCAGCTCTATTGACTCTAAAGAAGGATGGAACTTGGTAAATGTGTGTCGACAGTCGAGTTATCAATCGGATTACCATAAAGTACATATTTCTTATTCCATGTTTGGAGGATATGTTTGATATGCTTGTTGCTACTCAAATTTTCTCTAAAATTGATCTACAAAGCGATTATCACCAAATCGATATTAAACCAAGAGATGAATGGAAAACTGATTTCAAGACTCGAGAAGGTTTATATGAATGACTAGTTATGTCATTTGGACTTTCAAATGTCCCGAGCACCTTCATGCGGGTAATGAATCAAATTCTACATCCTTATATTGGGAAGTTTGTTGTTGTTTACTTTGATGATATTGTTATTTATAATCGTAACAAACTTGATCGTATTGAACATTCGAGAACTATTCTATCAATATTGAAGGCAGAAAAGCTATATGTAAATCTTAAGAAGTGTTCCTTCATGACCTCTAGCTTAGCTTTCCTAGGCTTTATCTTAACCCCTATAGGTATCCAAGTGGATTTTGAGAAGATTAAACTTATCCAGACTTAGCCAACAACAATATCTTTATAAGATATTTGGAGTTTTCATGGGTTGGCATCGTTTTAACGTCGATTTATTCGGAATTTTAGCACTATTATAGTTCCTCTGACTGATTGCATAAAGAAAGAAGTGTTTTAATGAATACATGAGGCAAACAACAAATTTGAACTATTAAAGGTGAAATTATCCACTATTCCTGTTCTTTCATTATTGAATTTTTCTAAAATATTTGAAATTGATTGTGATGCCTCTCATGTGGGTGGAGCACTTAGCCAGGAAGGACATCCACTTGCATTCTTTAGTAAAAAGCTTAACAATTCAAGAAAGAACTATTCAACCTATGATATTGAATTTTATGCTATTATTCAAGCACTACGACATTGGAGACCTTTTTTGATCCAACAAGAATTTATCTTAAATTCTGATCATGAAGCTTTTAAACATATAAATTCTCAAGCAAATCTCAATAGGTGACATGCAAGATGGGTGGTATTTTTACAAGAGTGTACTTTTGTCTTGAAGTATAACGATGGAATGTGTAATAAGGTTGCATATGCACTCAGTTGGCAATTAGCGCTTCTTAATACTATGCGAGCCCAACTAAAAGGATTTAATGAAATAAGAAATACTTTAATGATGAAGATTTTGGAAAATTATGGAAGTTATGCACGAAGAGTCATCATGAAGATTATGTTATTGAAGATGGTTTTCTCTTTCGTGGAACTCAACTTTATATTCCTAAATATTCTCTAAGAGAGTATGTTATCCAAAAACTACATTTTGGTGGATTAGAAGGTCATTTTGGGAGAGACAAAACAGTACTTCTCATTAAGGTGAAATATTTTTGGCCAACAATCTACCGAGATGTTACACGTTATGTGAAAAGATGTTGAATATGCAAACTTCAAAAGGGCAAACTCAGAATCTTGGTGTATATACTCCTTTATCAATTCCTATATGCTCCCTAGAAAGACATTAGTCATTAGTATAAATTTCGTTATTGGTCTATCGAAAACTTAAAGAGATACATATTCTATCTTTGTTGTTGTTGATCGATTTTCCAAAATGACATATTTTATTCCTTGCAAAAAGACCATGGATACTTCTTATATTACTAACATTTATTTCATTGAAGTGGTCAAACTTCATGAAATTCCTAAATCTATCACATCAGATAGAGATGCTAAATTTCTTAGTCATTTTTGGAGAAGTTTATGGAAGAAATTTGACACTAACCTATTAATAAAACCTTAGGTAATCTGCTACGATGTTTTGTTGCAAAAGATCAAAACAATGGGATCTCATGCTACCTTGTGCTGAATTAACTTATAACTTTGTGGTTAATCGTTCTATGGGCAAGACTTAATTTGAGATTGTTTATGATCGTATTTCACCTGATTATCTAGATCTTGTTGAAGTACCTGAATCATCTTTATCGAGTTCAAAGGAAGAGGATTTTGCTATTACCATGATAAAAATTCATAAAAAAGTTAAAAAGAACAAATTGCACATACAAACGGGGTCAAAGAACAAATTGGTCAAGAGCTCTCAATGAATTAGGAGTTAGCAGGCCCCTTAATTCAAAAGTCTCTTTGTGTTGAAAGGAACTTCATGAGCTCATGGAGCAGGCTATCTATCATGATTCAAGCTTCTAATGATTTTCTTAAATCTGACCGGTTATTCATAGAATTTTTTTTTTAATTGCAAGACAATAAGAAAGTTGCCATCCGAATGTTTCCTCGTCTCTTGATGCTTCTCTTATCATTTAGATTTTGTTTAAGCATTGGGCTCTTAGAATTGCATGTCAGATTTTGTTTAAGCATTTTAGTGAAGTAATCATTTGATAATTATGTTTAATTCTAGCATTTTATTTAAGCAATTGCTGATTGACTAACCATTCACTTAGTTCACACTGTTTAAATCTCTTTGCCAAAAGTTCATACTCCTGGCACACTTTTTCGTATGAGATTTGTAATATATTTGAGATCACCACGATCTTCTATAAATAATTGTTCTCTTCAAAAAATATTGTGCCTTTGAAGTTTGTGTGTGGGACCGACTACCAACTTTTTCTCGTCTCTAATATTGAAACAAAAAAAACATGTACAATGATGATGACAGTCAATGAACCATTCGCTTTGATAAACTATTCACTTTGAGGGGGGACGACTTATGTCGAAAGAAAAGGTTTCTTCCATACTTTTTTTATTTATGGTTAAAAAAAAAAAAGAGAGATGAAAACACCAACCACAGTTACTTTATTTAAGGTAGGTTGGTTGGTACTATAGCTGCAGCAAGAACAAAAGTTGCGAGGAGCCTGACGTTTTGCTAATGATAAGAAAGAACACACACTCCTTAGGCGGCAGTTAAGGTGTTGCCAATGTCGATGACGAATCGGTACCTGACGTCGCCCTTGCTAAGTCGTTCCATGGCCTCGTTCACGCGGTCCATGCTGACGAGTTCGATGTCCGCGGTTATGTTGTGCTCTGCAGCGAAGTCTATCATCTCCTGCGTCTCCTTAACTCCTCCGATGCAGGTACCGGCTATGCTTTTCTCACCTGTGTTTCCTCCTCCGTTTCAGATTTTTTTTTATTTTTATTTTTATTTTTATTAAAAAATAATCTCCCTCACCGAAAGAAAATAAAAAAAAATGATAAAATCTCCACCACCAACCTACCAATGATGAGAGAAAATGCGTCCAACTGCAACGGCTTCTCGGGTGCTCCCGCCATGATCATCTTCCCGCGAGTCTTCAACAGAAACATCAATGGCGTAACATCGTGCACCGCCGAAACCGTGTCGATGATACCATCCATGGTTCCCATGGCAGCCTTGGAAACATACGTGCATCAGTCAGTCAATTGTGGTCGTGTCAAACGTCGACAGCGCGCTTTGGAATGAATGAATGGTACCCACCTGCATTCGTCCAGGGTCGCTGCTCACCAAGAAATCATCGGCTCCCAGACGCTCCGTGGCTTCCTTCTCCTTGCCGGGGGAAGAGCTTATCACGGTAACTTTCATCCCCAAGGCCTTGCCGAACCTAACAGCCACGTGGCCCAGACCACCAAGGCCGACCACTCCGAGATGCTTTCCGGGCTGGTCCAGACCGTGGTACTTCATGGGGGCGTACACGGTGATACCCGCACACAGCAGTGGGGCGCCACTGTCCGAGGGCATGTTCTCCGGGAACCGGATCACGAAGTGTTGATCCACCACGATCATGTCGGAGTAGCCTCCGTATGTCATCGTGCCGTCCACGTTGACGGAATTGTAGGTGAATACGAGTCCAGGACAGTGGTTCTCGAGACCCTGCTGGCAGCCATGACAAGAGCCAGAGCGGCAAGAGTTAACCATGCACCCAACCCCCACCCTGTCTCCTACCTTGAATTTCTGCACGCTCCCTCCGACTTGGGTTACCATCCCAACGATCTCATGCCTGCCAAAAATAAAAAAAAAACCCAAATTATACGTACAGAGGGAAAGGCCCTAAAGAGAGTTATTAGACGTGGGTTTGGGCATACCCCGGGACGACCGGATAGGCCGTACGTGCCCATTCGTTCCTGGCAACGTGAAGGTCGGAGTGGCACATCCCACAATACAATATCTTGATCGTAACATCCTCATCCCCGTTATTCCTGCACACAAAAAAATAACACTAATCGTATTATTTGACGACACCCAACAGATTTTATGCCTACCATACATAAAAAAAAGTACAAGAAACGACCATTTTTCCTATTTTCGTATCTCATACGTGATGACAAAAGAACGTATGGGCTGTCGTCGTATAGCCGTTCCTGCTTCGCATCTGAATGACGAGGCCGGCATATAAGATAAAAGCAAACTCTCACAACACCACTATCGCGTACTATGTTGGATGATGCACATCTGCTGGCACATCAATTTGAATCCCTCCGGGAGAGAGGGTCCTGCCTACCCTAGTCTTTCTTGCCTTCGATTAGCAAAAGATGTGCGTAATTTTCAGGGAATCTTTGAATACGGGCTCCTACACAATTTCATCGTACCACACACAATACGGGCATCCTCCGAATCTTGTATAATTATTAGTCTATGATCGTTTCGAGACAAGACGAGAAAGAAAGACACCATCGAATCTCTTCTTCTCTATTCTCCATGCGTTCCTTTAAACTGTGTCGTCGGATTCCTTCTTCTTCTACCCATTCTATCATGTTACTATTCATTTTCGTCACCGATTCTCTCCCCAAAATAACTCCATCGGCAACACAGTGGAGCAGCAGCTTACACATCCTCTAACATACAAAATATGCATCCAACCATGTATAAAATAAATACCTTATTATAAATCACAATAAGAAACAAAATATGCATCGTTCGGAAAACAGAACAAAAATAAATGCATCAAATTACGACATAAGAAACGAATCCGGAAAAATACATACATACATACATACGCCTTCTGATATTTTCTTTTGCCTATTTGTCAGTTTTGCCGACTTTGTGAACTCGTGAACTGATAACGTAGGAAAGAACACGAGAAAGTTACTCGAAGAAGGTTCTTAAAGAAACAGTTCAAGAACAGGAGCCAGGGGGGAGTGCAAGTGTTGGGAGGAAGATGGGGAGAGAAACGAAAGAGAAAATCGAATAAGAACCAAAGGAAGAGAAGAAAACCGGCACAAAACTACCCAGAAAATGATGCCATCGCTTTAATTTTGTTTTTCTTTCTTTCATCGCTCCCCGCTTTCCGAGAACTCACAGATGAAGAAAATACGATCGATAAACGCATTTCTTGAAGGAAACGTGAGGACAAATTCAAGATCTTCGAGAAGGCGACGGAAAAAGAAACAGAGCATCGAGCGAGACTCCTCCGGAGGTGGTGACGAGATCCAAGACAGAAAAGCGCAACAGGAAAGGCGTGAATCGAGAGAAACGGATGGGGGGGAGTTCACCTCCGGGAGAACGCGAAGGGAGAGAAGAGTCCGGAAGCGTCCCTCGCCGCCCACCCGAACGCCTTGCGCGGGTGCTCCTCCTCCGGGGATGTCGCCTTCCTCACCCCGTTCTCGGTTGCCGCCTCCCCCATTGCCTACTCCTCTCTTTATCCTCGCTCGCCGATGACGGTGGAAACGAGGACTAGGACCGGAGAGACGCGGCGGTTATATTCTGGTAAATGCGTACCGTGCGCTCGAGCTCATCGCATCGTCGTCATCGAATCTGCCTTACGATTCGAATGCTTCGCGATCGAACGGTTAATTCCATCGATAACGTTTTGGTTACGATGCGCCCGAGGCGCATCGTCGCTTGGGACACAACTACTCCGACGTCGCCACAAACTACGTCAGCCGCGCGATGGGCGGCTTCGTCAGATGGACGGGTTAGATTCACCTCATCGAATGTGCGTACGTGGCGACCTGTAGGTGGGGCAGGAGGTTGGTGCCTGATTGTAGCCGCGGTGTTGCGGGCCGATCAGCAAACAGCTTCGTATCGCATAAGAACGGCGACGCCCTACCACAGCGCTGACGTCGGTAGCCTGGCGCCGGGGAACCACGATGACGGGACGGTGTTTCGTGGCTCGGTGAGCACTGCTGCTCACCGGAGGAGACCGGAAGGTAATTACGGTGCATTAAAGGCGCCAACAACCACCGTAAATACAGATCACCTTTTTCTTTTGCTCTTTCCTTTCATTTTCTTAGATATTTATATATATAATTAGCTGGAATTAGCTGGCAGATGGAGTAATGGGCATGATTAATGCTTCGCTAGTGTAAAATGCCAACGACAAGAGGATTTGGAAGGAGTGGAATTAATGGATATACTGACAGTGGAGAGTGAATGAGCGAGCGGTGACGTGGTTTTCTGAATGGTGATAAACCACCACCACCACCCGGACTCAGCTCTCATAGCTTCGAGTGGGTGAATTGAATCTGATCTCGGTAGTTGGAAACAAGAAAAGCCACCCTCTTTAAAAGCACCTTATCGCATAAGGCAAAGGAGAAGAATTCAAGAAAGCACCGCATCACAATTTACTTATTTGCTCTCCATCTCTGACTATGCTTCCCCCTTGGCCTTCGCCGTATGTTATATCGAAAGAACCCAACTAAACCCACCAGAGTAACGAGGGGGTGGTGGGTCGGTGGGGTCAACATATATCGACTTACGGTGTCACAAAAGGTTTCACAAGTAAAAGAAGAAGGGAACCGTGCGAGTTCATTTACTCGGCATGCAACAACTTCCGCACAGGACCGAGGAGAGGAGGGGCTTCAAGAACGCATGATGGTGAGTTTTTCTTTTACCCATTTCTTATCTTTTACCTCCTCCTGATGTATAACAAGAAATAGTTTCGCATCCAAAGAAAGAGGTAATGACATATCCTCATAGTAGCGAGCCAAAAAAAATAAACCCAAGAAAATACAATCGACAAAAAAACACACTCTGAAAGCACCACAAAATTCCACAGATGACCGATTGCATGTCAACGATATAAATAGATACATACATACCTTGTTCCGTAGTCTTCCTTCGAATGGGAGAGGAAGCAAACGACTCCTCCTTCCCTCGTTTGGCCGACGACGATGCCTACGATTGGTTTGATGGGGAGGGACAGATGCTTGGGTTTGGTAGGAACGAGAGGCGATGGAAACTCTCGTGACCATGCAACCGAACTCCACACTACTCTCGAATGAACCGATTATAAATATCCTTCCACTTCTGCACTCCCCTTCATCACTCTCGCTCCGTTCCTTCTGCAGAACACTAAGATGAAATGGTCACGAGAGTTTCCATCGCCTCTCGTGTCGCCGCATGCATACGATTGGTTTGATGGGGAGGGACAGATGCTTGGGTTTGGTAGGAACGAGAGGCGATGGAAACTCTCGTGACCATGCAACCGAACTCCACACTACTCTCGAATGAACCGATTATAAATATAAGTTGGGCTGGTGAGTTGTGCAAGAGGAGGAGCACCCAAAGAGAGAAAGAGAGGACAACGGAAAGGGAGGTGGCCATGGCTTAGTGTTCTGCAGAAGGAACGGAGCGAGAGTGATGAAGGGGAGTGCAGAAGTGGAAGGATATTTATAATCGGTTCATTCGAGAGTAGTGTGGAGTTCGGTTGCATGGTCACGAGAGTTTCCATCGCCTCTCGTGTCGCCGCATGCATACGATTGGTTTGATGGGGAGGGACAGATGCTTGGGTTTCGTAGGAACGAGACGATTTCGGTTGAGAGGCCTACTGCATGCTGCGAAGAACATGTTGTTCAACACAAATATCTTACTTGGTTTCTATGCTGAAACGTGTTTTTGATGACGCTATGACCTTTCTGAGCTACCACAACTGGGTGGTGGAACAAAGATGGCTAGAATGCACATTTGGTATGTCCTCTTCCTCACTCTTTAACTGCATGCTTGTGTGTATCTTTCTCATGCTTGTCTAACTGGATGAGAAAGATACCGGTTAGCCATAATTAGTCGAAGGGGACTCCCTTCTATGGGTAATGTTTGGTCAATGTAGTCACTGAGGCACTTCAATCTACTTCAATTCAATTGTCCCTCTCCGTTGCACACAAACAAAACAGGAAGAAATGATTTCTGGTGGTGTTGGGGATCAAATGGAAGAGCCAGTAGTGATCATGGTGGTGGTTGGCAGCTAACTTGGACGTTGTGGACATTCTTGGCGATTCTTTTGGTTAATCATAGTCATGATTCTGAATCGGAGAACCTACTTTGAACTGTCTTCTTCTTCTTCTCTATGCCCTAACAATGGTGGCTTTGTTGCAGTGTTCTGACATAAGTACTGCCAAGATATTGATGAGGTTTGCTAACAGCGACAGCCATAACATGAAATCATAGTAAACGATGATTGTTGCAGTGATGATGTATGTCAATCGTTCAACTGTCCAGCTAATATTGAAAAGACATCTAAGTTATATGCTACTGTAGTCTTTCCAAATGGGGCAAAGCCCGTCTGGGCTAAGCCTTGTGACAGATGAAATGGGCGGAGCCTTGTCCCATGACCAGACCACTTAGAGAGAGGTGCAAGTTATGGGCCGAAACCAATCGAGCTTCCTACTAAGATCTCGATTCAACGGTGAGCAAGACGAAAGCCCTAAATCTCAGATCAAGGTTTGTCGAATCGGCACTTCTCGGAGACGCATCGCCGGAGCGCTCTCCTCTTTTCCTCCACCGCTGCATCTCGAGTTCACTCACACATGGCCCCTACCTAATTTCATCGGACCACGCACAATATGGGCATCCTCCGAATCTTGTATAATTATTAGTCTATGATCGGTCCTACGAGAAAGCCACTCGATGAAGGTTCTTAAAGAAACAGGTCAAGAACAGGAGCGAGGGGGAGTGCAAGTGTTGGGAGGAAGATGGGGAGAGAAACGAAAGAGAAAATCGAATAAGAACCAAAGGAAGAGAAGAAAACCGGCACGAAACTACCCAGAAAATGATGCCATCGCTTTATTTTGTTTTTCTTTCTTTCATTGCTCCCCGCTTTCAGAAAACTCACAGATATAGAAAATACGATCGATAAACGCATTTCTTGAAGGAAACGTAAGAACAAATCGAAGATCATCGAGAAAGCGACGGAAAAGACAACAGAGAAGACGGAAAAGGGCAACAGGAAAGGCGTGATTCGAGAGAAACGGAAGGGGGGAGTTCACCTCCGGGAGAAGACGAAGGGAGAGAAGCGTCCGGAAGCGTCCCTCGCTGCCCACCCGAACGCCTTGCGCGGGTGCTCCTCCTCCGGGGGCGTCGCCTTCCTCACCCCGTTCACGGTTGCCGCCTCCCCCATTGCCTACTCTTCTCTTTATCGTCGCTCGCCGTGACGGTGGAAAAGAGGACAAGGACGGGAGGGACGCAGGGTTTATATTCTGGTCAATGCGTACCGTGCGCTCGAGCTCATTGCATCGTTGTCATCGAATCTGCCTTACGATTCGCTTGCTTCGCGATCCAACGGTCAACTCCATCGACAACGTTTTGGTTACGATGCGCCTCGAGGCGCATCGTCGCTTGGGACAGGACCACTCCGACGTCGCCACAAACTACGTCAGCCGCGTGATGGGCGGCTTCGTCAGATGGACGGGTTAGATTCACCTCATCGGAAGTGCGTACGTGGCGACCTGTAAGTGGGGCAGGCCGTTGGTGCCTGATTGTAGCCGCGGTGTTGCGGGCCGACCAGCAAACAGCTTCGTATCGCATCAGAACGTCGACGCCCTACCACAGACCTGATGTCAGTAGCCTGGCGCCGGGGAACCACGATGACGGGACGGTGTTTCGTGGCTCGGTGAGCACTGCTGCTCACCGGAGGAGACCGGAAGCTAATTACGGTGCATTAAAGGCGCCAACAACACGCGTAAATACAGATCACCTTTTTCTTTTTCTCCTTCCTTTCATTTTCTTAGATATTTATATGTAATTAGCTGGAATTAGCTGGCAGACGGAGTAATGGGCATGATGAATGATTGGCTAGTGTAAAATGCCAACGACAAGAGGATTTGGAAGGAGCGGAATTAATGGATATACAGACGGTGGAGAGTGCCTGAGCGAGCGGTGACGTGGTTTTCTGGACGGTGATAAACCACACCACAAGCAGTCCCCACTGGACTCAGCTCTCATATCATACATAGCTTCGAGAGGGTGAGCTCAATCTGATCTCTTTTAAGCCACCCTCTTTTGAGTACACCGCATCACATGACAGCAAAGGAGAAGAATTCAAGAAACCACAGCATCACAATTAATTCTTCCTTGAACTCTTTCCCTCTCAATGACTGACTATGCTTCCCCCTTGGCTTTCGTCGTATGTGATATTGAAAGAACCCAACGAAACCCACCCGGGTAACGAGGGGGTGGTGGTTCGGTGGGGTCAGCATATGTCGACGTACGGATTCGTAAAAGGTTTCACAAGTACAAGAAGGAACCGTGAGAGTTTATTTACACGGCATGCAGCAACTTCCGCACCGGACCCCTACGTGCGTGGCCAGCAAGTCAAACACATGTTCTATGATATAATAGGTACAGACACGCATACCTTTCGATAAGGACCGATCGCGTCATCATCAGCACATTCATGGTTTGGCAGAGCCTCTTAATCCACAGAGGACGCTTCTTTGTATCGAAGGATTTCAACGCCCAAGTAGTCGATGGTGCCACGAACGGCCACATGAGGCTTCTCCACCTTCACTCTCACAGCAGATATCTGAGGCAATTGAAGTAGCGTGGTATTTGCAATCAAGTGAGCTACCGACTCCAACAGATTCTGAGACGTACCCTCTACCACTTCCTTCACTATCCTGCACATCCACCACCAACTCCACAAGTTAATGTTGTAATGTAATCCACATATGATGACATGCAATCCAAGTGCTTGTTAGTTTTGCCAAACAAGAAGAAAAACTTTTTTGATTCACTTGAAAACTCAAGTGAAGATTTCACGGAAAAGTAGTGACAGCAGTGATCTATCATATCATGCTCTCAAAAGCAAATTTCCTGACCAGACTCTACACTACCATCTATTAACCACACACACACACACACACACACTAGTACGCTGAGAAGAAGATAATTGCTATCACCAAGAGAGTTTCCAAAATACATCAGTAGATATGAAGGATCCATAAGCCAAATTAACAAAGTATCCTAAGCACGACAAGTTATATGCATCCAGTTCACGAATTTCTGATGCACAAGTCAGCTTTCTGAACTGGAACCATTTGGCTCCATTCCGCTAGCTACTTACATTCCACCAAATACAGCGACCTTTCGAAAGGTTCACTCCTACGAAACCCATAAACCAATACTATTTTTATATGAACAATTGGAACATGCCACTGATAAGCTGATGCATACATTGTCCTGCAGGATTATTATAAGCGCATTTGACTATATTGTTGTGCACCACCCAAAAGTGAGTTCTTTGTGTTTTATGGGTTCCTGAAGTTTTGAACCTTGCGAATAAACCGTCCCCAGGCCTTAAGCTCACATTTTGCATCTTTGTCGACTCTCTTCAAGTTTATCAAACCAAGTAGGAAGTTTGTGCACACCATTATGTACAGGAAGAATCATCGTCCTTGATGTGCAAGATAGTAAAGGCCACTGAGTGGTCTTGGCACACATCCGGGAGAGGTCGGCATGGCATGTCACCCATTTTGTATGGTGATATGATTCAACCTGTGTGCACACATGACTGTTGGCGCCACTAACCTAATTATATATTGTACCAGAAAGATAATACCAAAGCTAGAAGTGAGGATTGTGCAAATGCATGAAGGATAACATATTGTCAAAATGTTTCCTAGATTCTCCATTTGCTCCAATGATACTGTAACAATAGCACGAAATATAAACCATCATTCCACTCTGCAACAACCCTGCTCCTTGCATCCATTCTCATTCTCTCGAATAGTGAACATCAGTAAAATATGTTATAAAGAAATTCTCTTTCTCTCAATTTCCAATATTCCATGGAGGCAGGTCACCTCCTGATGCTTAAGACATTCTCATCACAGTGTGTGCTATATTAAGAGTTCTCATTTCAAGTACTAAATTACATATGGTCTTCCCTCCATTCGCAAAAGTTCACATAATGCCTCAACTGTGAGCTCATTTTTGCTGTCTATCTTGATAAAATTATCAAAGGTAGTATTTCATTCCAGAAAACTACTTGCACGTTCAAAGGCTCACATTAGTCTATGAATATTACCATGGCTAAGTCAGGATGAAAACTAGTGAATTGGGTGTTCTTTAATAAGATGTATGACCAAAAGAGTTGATGAAAAATTTAGCAGCCAGTCTTTTTAAAATAACTTTACCAAAAAATATAATGAACCTATCTTTTGCTTAGAAGAAAAATCATCTCTAAACTTTATGTATGGTTGTGGCCTCAGGTCATCCCATCATTAGGGCCTTAAACTTAGAGACGAAATAGTCAAGTCAGTCACGGGCCATTTCTGCAAACAAGCTGGTTAACATTGAAAAAAAAAGAAAAAAAGAAATGGTTGATCGAGCATGAAATCTAACCCCACCCACCACTAAAACAGAGATGCAGACTACTAGGTACCAAGACAAACAACTCTGCCGGTGGCCATAGCAGATACATCTTAGAGGAAATATATCAACTTTTTATAACTGCTATAAGTTTTATTAAAACAGACATAATGTATAACCACTGCATTGTCAAAAAGGAAGAGGGAAAAGAAAAAGGAACAGTTACCGATAAATAGCAGTATAGCTGACTGTGTCAGAAATGTCATCAGATTTACCAGCATTGCTCAAGTCCATCCAAGCATCCACATCGATCACAAACTTTTGACCAAGCTTCTTTTCCTCCAGTTTCACACCATGAAATCCATGAAACTGCAAGCCCCTTAGTATCAGCTTGTCTTTATCAACAAAATCACGGTCACCCATGGATGATGAACCTGATGAAGTATATAAGGTTTCAATTTTCAGAATATGCAACAACAAAAGAAGATACCTCGATGTATTGGCTCCAACATATCACTTAAAAAGTAACATTTAAGTTGGTTTCTATAAAAAAAAATTTGCATTGATGAAAGGCAAAGAAATTAAATAGTATAAATGAAATGCAGCTTGACATAGATACCTGCATCTGCAGATATAAGGTTCAATTATATATCACTACACGGAGGCTTTAAACTTGCAGTTCAAGAAGGATGCAGGATAAAGACGAGATAAACAGAGCTCAAATAGCCAACAAGCACAATGCGAGACTTACTGTTCGGTTCTTTATATCGGATTCAAATGATAGCAGCTTCCCCAGTTTCATGAATGTGCAAGTACACTAAATAAACAGTACTGACAACCATATCTGAATACCAACCTTTCCTACATCTTGGTTGCTCCCGACAGCACGTAAATGGCTAACCTTTTTTCTTTTCGAACGAGAGACAATATGGTGACCGGAGCCCGAAAAGACCGACTTAAATCAACCAAATCCGAGGAAGACTTTTTTTGCAAAATTGGAGCTGAAGATATCAACGACAAAAAAAAAAACCCAAGAATGCAATTTTAAAAACCAGCCGCAGGTTTTCGAGTTTAAACAGCTCGATGGAACCCAATACCCTATCGTGAAGATCTATGGACCGATATTCTTCACCGGTTTCTATGACCAAATCAGGACGGCCCTTCATTCGATTGCAATCCGTATATCGTTGCAAAAGAAAACTCAAAATAACTTGCGAGGAGGCAGAGATCGATTACCTTCGCGCAAGACTCCGTCTCCACCATTCTCTCCCACCCGATTCCTCGAAGATGATAAGGGGGCAGACTCGGGGGCGGGCGCGTGTCCGTTGGTGCCGCTGAGGGGCAAGTCGTCGTCGAGAAGTCCTAAGGATCAAATCAGATCAACCACGGACAGCCACGAGTTGAGGATGCAAGAGAACGCACGGAAAACCCCGAAGCGCCGGACTTTTGTCTCGCATAACCTATTCGAGTCGAGCATGAAAAATGAAGTTTTGGCGTTCAATGCGACCTGTAAGTGGGGCAGAACGTTGGTGCCTGATTGTAGCCGCGGTGTTGCGGGCCGATCAGCAAACAGCTTCGTATCGCATCAGAACGGCGACGCCCTACCACAGCGCTGACGTCAGTAGCCTGGCCCCAGGGCACCACGATGACGGGACGGTGTTTCGTGGCTCGGTGAGCACTGCTGCTCACCGGAGGAGACCGAAAGGTAATTACGGTGCATTAAAGGCGCCAACAACCGGCGTAAATACAGATAACCTTTTTCTTTTTCTCTTTCCTTTCATTTTCTTAGATATTTATATAAAATTAGCTGGAATTAGCTGGCAGATGGAGTAATGGGCATGATGAATGAATGATTCGCCAGTGTAAAGTGCGAACGACAAGAGGATTTGGAAGGAGCGGAATTAATGGATGGATATACTGACGATGGAGAGTGAATGAGCGAGCGGTGACGTGGTTTTCTGGACGGTGATAAACCACACCACAATATCATATATAGCTTCGAGGGGGTAAGCTGAATCTGATCTCCGGTAGTTGGAAATAAGAAAAGCAACCCTCTTTTAAGAACATCACATCACATTACAGCAAAGGAGACGAATCCAAGAAAGCACAGCGTCACAATTAATTCTTCCTTGAACTCTTCCCTCTCAACGACTACTATGCTTCCCCCTTGGCCTTCGTCGTATGTTATATAAGAACCCAACTAAACCCATCAGAGTAACGAGGGGGTGGTGGGTCAATGGGGTCAACATATGTCGACCTACGGAGTCACAAAAGGTTTCACAAGTAAAGGAAGAAGGGAACGATTGTCACAAAAGGTTTCACAAGGTTTCACAAGTAAAGGTTTCACAAGTAATGGAAGAGGGGGTGAGAGTTCATTTACTCGGCATGCAGCAACTTCCGCACAGGATCGAGGAGAGGAGGGGCTTCAAGAACGCAGGATTGTAAGTTTTTCTTTTACCCATTTCTTATCTTTTCTTTTCTTTTACCTCCTCCTAATGTGTAACAAGAAATAGCTTCGCATCCAAAGAAATAGGTGATGGCATACCCTCATAATAGCGAGCCAAAAAAAAAATAAACCCAAGAAAATATAATCGGCAAGAAAACACACTCGAAAGCACCACAAAATTTCACGGATGACCGATCGCATGTAGTTGGAAACAAGAAAAGCCACCCTCTTTTCAGAACACCGCATCACATCACCCTCTTTTCATAACACCGATCAAAATTCCAACAACTTTCTTGGGTTTATTTACTCGGCATGCAGCAACTTCCGCACAGGACTGTGGGCTGAGTGCACCCACGGCATGCAGCAACTCTTCTCCCCCTCTCCTCGGTCCTGTGCGGAAGTTGCTGCATGCCAAGCATAGTCAGCTCACCCTCTCCTTTGCTGTAATGTGATGCGGTGTTCTGAAAAGAATGAGACTTTTCTTATTTCCAACTACATGCGATCATACCTCCGTGAATTTTGTGGTGCTTTTGAGAGTGTTTTCTTGCCAATTGCATTTTCTTGGGTTTTTTTTTTTTTTTGGCTCACTACTATGAGGGTATGTCATTTTTTGATGTGAAGCTATTTCTTGTTACACAATAGGAGGAGGTAAAAGAAAAGAAAAGAAAAGAAAAGAAATG